AAATACTTATCATATATATATATATATATATATATATATTATATATGTTAAAATACTAGTAGATAAACAATTAAAAATAAAATAAAAAATGACTAATTTTAGAGATAGAATTTTAACTAATAGAATATAACTAAAATTTTATTCTATACGACATACGTGATAAGTTTAAGTCATTATAATTTTTTTAAAATTATTATTTTTAATTCTTAGTAATCATTTTAAGATATACACATGACACATATTTTAAATATTTATAAAAAAAATAAAATATTAAAAATAATTATAAATATCACTTAAAATAATAATTTTTTAATAAATATATAATTAAAAATTTATATAATAATAGAGATTAAAATACTAATTTTAAATTTTAGAAAAAATAAAAAAGTATTTTACAAAATTTGAAATGAAAAAATACTCATTTTATAAAAATTAAAAGCATATTTAAGGAAAATTAAATTTATGATATATGTCTTACAATACATTTGTTATTTTTATATTTTAAATAAATATATAGTATTACGAAATGTTTCTCTTTTTTCTTTCTATTATTTAATAAATTAAAAAAAAAGTCTAATAAATAAAGAATATAAGGGTGAGAAATTGAGAGGTTTTGGAAGGAAAAAAACACTAGGATCCAAGTTCCGAAACATAAATAAATTGAGGACATAGAGATTAGGTTAGTGTGAGTCTCGCCTCTCTTTCTCTCCCCTGCGGCTAGGGTTTTTGGTTTTTCACTCTCTTTCGCCTCTTTTCCTTTTCTCATTTCCCTTCTCTTCCGATCTGACTCAAGCGATGGAACCGTCCTTCAGTTAAGCCTTTTGTGCGGTGCTCAGAAAAAGTAGCGGTTTTCGGATTTTCCTAAGAAGGGTTGCGTTTGGAAAATGGCCACTGCGAATCCTTTCGATTTGTTGGGCGACGATGCCGAGGACCCCTCGCAGCTGATCGCGGCGGAGCAGCTCAAGGCCGCCGCGGCGCCGCCCAAGAAGGAGCAGGCCAAGCCCGGAGCTCGCGGCGGCGCGGTGGCTCAGCCGAGCAAGCCGGCTCAGTTGCCGTCCAAGCCTCTTCCTCCCACTCAGGCTGGTTGGTTATTTGGTTCTGTTTTCATTTTTAATTGAAAGTTTGCTTTTTTTAGATGCGTGCTTGTTTGGGTCGTTAAAAAAGTGAATTTTTGTTGGTGGGGTTTATGGGAGTGTGGGGATTTGTTGTTTTTAGAAAGATGTGGGTTTTGGGTTTTTGTTATTTTTGGGTGTTACTTCTTACCTTGGTTCTGGTGGTTCGTTTGGAACTTTTTGCTTTTGGTATTTTGTGGGGAAGAAAGTTATTTGATATAATGAATGTTTAGATGGATATTTTTTTTTTTGTTAGCTGAGATTATTGGGAATATGAATCTTGTTGTGTGTTAATATATGAGGTTGGACATGCTTTTGTTGCTATCTGAGTCTATTACATGCAATACGTCCCCGATTGGTTTAATCTTTGGTTTTTGTAAAGTTGATTTTTTTGTTGAAAGGGATAGAATATATATATATATATATATTATTTTATTGTATGATTTGTTGGGTTTTCCTATTGAAGCCGTGAAGGACTGTAATTGGGTAGAAGTTGCAGTACAAGCGATGCTTCAGTAAGAAATCTGTTCAAATGCATCTCTTAAATTATTTTTTTTATTGACCCCCTCTTTAGTCTGTAATGTGGTAGGGCATCAGAAAAATTGAAATATGAAGTTTTTTCCCCATAATAACTTAATTAGTATTGGTATATTTGTATTTTTTGTGTGTTGAGTTTATTTTGACATTTTTTTTATGCTACCTTGATTCTTGAATGGCCATTTGCCTTGATGATATTCCTTGTGTTACTTTTCTCTTATGTTTTTTTTGTTCTTATCCTGTTGGTAGTGAGGGAGGCTAAAAGTGATGTTTCTCGTGGTGGCCGTGGAGGTGGCCGAGGAGGTGGACGCGGATTTGGACGTGGTCGTGGAAGTGGTGGCTTTGGCCGTGATTATTCCAATGATGAGAACTCATCGGCCCCTGCTAACCAAGGTGCTTTTGAAGGAGATGATTCTGGGAATCCCTCAGAAAGACGTGGTTATGGTGGACCTGGTGGACCTCGTGGGCCTTATCGTGGTGGTGGTCGCCGTGGAGGCTTTAGCAATGGTCAAGTTGGTGAAGATGGACGTCCACGGAGAGCATTTGAACGTCACAGTGGGACTGGACGAGGGTAAATATTATCACCAACTAACTAATAATTTCTTTCTTCAACTTCTGTTTCTATAACTAATGATATCAACTGTTCTTGTTGCAGAAATGAATTCAAGCGTGATGGTGCTGGACGTGGGAACTGGGGTACACAGTCTGATGATATTGCTGAGTAAGCATTTTTCATAAAAAAGACACTTGTGTTTCATTTGGTGATTATTGATTATATGTTCCTTTTGATGTTAAATGTGCTTAGGGTGACTGAGGAAGTGGTTAATGAATCTGAAAAGAATTTGGGTGATGAGAAGCCTGCAGGCGAGGAAGATGGAGCAGAAGGAAACAAGGACAGTCCTGCTAATGAAAATGAAGAAAAGGAGCCTGAGGATAAGGTGGATGGCGGGTTCAATTAAAGCTTTCTGCATTTAGTCTGAATCTTTTGCTGCATCTTTGAAATTTTCTTCATTCATGAATCATGTTCAAGATACAAACAGAAGACATGCATCTTATTGATGAATGATAGATAATTCAAATTAAGCTCTGGTTGTATGTTAAGTGCATCTAATTGGATTTTGTAGGATGCTTTATTTACTTGGTGGAAAGTAGAAACTCTCAGCTGTCTTTTCTCTTAATGATGAATTTTTGTCTTAGTCTAACTTTGTTTTGCAGTTTGAAAATGTTGGGATTTCAATTGCATTTATTCTTGCTCATGGAATTTGTTTTTGGTTATATTTTAAATTTATATTCTCTAGGCTGTTCATCCATTGCTGAATTGAATTTAAACTGTCTGGTAGGAGATGACACTGGAAGAATATGAGAAAGTGCTGGAAGAGAGAAGGAAGGCTCTGCAGGCACTTAAGACTGAAGCGACAAGAAAGGTGGATATCAAGGAGTTTGCTTCAATGCAGCCACTGTCAAACAAGAAAGACAATGATGAGATATTTATTAAATTGGTGAGAATTTTTGGCCCCATTTTTTCCCTTTGTTTATAATTATTTTTATATTAATGATTCCTAATGATATTGCTTGACACTTTATTTTCTTTCCAGGGATCTGACAAGGATAAGCGCAAAGATGCTTTGGATAAGGAGGAGAAATCTAAGAAGGTGTGACTTTGTTGCATTTCTTGTCTTTGATTTCTTTGTATTAAGCTCAGTAAGACATCAATTTCTTCTCTATATTCAAAATTAACTGCCTCTAATAACTATATTTTGAAAGGTAGCCAAATGAACAGCAATTTTGTTTAATAACTTTTACACTTGGGTGATTTATGGCATTTGGAGGTGCCATGGTATTTTTTTGATGATAACAGATGACAGAAAGTGATGAAAACATGATGCAGTTGTTAAGGAACATTAAAATTGTTATGGTTTTCTATACTGAACAATCTGTAGTGTTTCTATGTACAGTATGATATGGACATGCTGCTCAGCCTTTATGTAGCTTTTTGATCTATCCTAATTACCTTGTGATTATTGTGGCAGTTTTGGTCAGTTACAGTGAAGAGGTTCTTATGCCATTATTTAACATCATATTTCTATTGTTCTTTTGATTTGACATTCAAAGTTTATAATGATGTGACCACACCATGTTTTATTTTGTAGTTATGCTTTGTTTATTTACATAATTGCTTACAGTATAAAATTGTTTTACATTATCAACCAATCATGCCAAACATGGCATGCATGACTCTTAGGTAGTTTTTATAGAAGTCAATAACTTTATTATTTATGGTGAATTTTGATTGGAAAACATAAGAAGTGTTTACACTGTCAGTGCATGAATGTGTTGTTTTGTTTATTAGGTTCTGCAGAATTTTTTTGCCATATTCCTTTATAAACACTTCACTCTGGAGTTGGTTCTTATGTTAATCGTAGAATTTCTAGTCACTTCTCTAGTTTTGCTATTCACCTAAATGTGTTTTATGCTGATATTGGTTCCCTTGAGACCATTGTCCGCATGGACTATGTTTTTAGTCTTGATGTATTTGTATTTGTTCTTGATTAAAGGAACACAATATCAGAATTCAAATTGTGATGTTAGAAGGGTTCTTATCATTGAATTGTCATCTTTTGTCTTGGTCTATTGGGCAATCTCTTAATTTCATTTCTCATTTTTTTGCCTTTTCTCCTAACTTTGTTTCTTGTTTTGGGCTTCATAATCTTAGTCTGTCAACATCCATGAGTTTCTGAAACCCGCTGAAGGAGAAAGGTACTATAACCCTGGTGGGCGTGGTAGGGGACGTGGCCGTGGTTCTAGAGGAGGTTACAGTGGAAATGCAGGAAGCAATGTACCAGCTCCATCAATTGAGGATCCTGGTCAATTCCCAACCTTGGGTGGCAAGTGAGGTTTTCCAAGGACCCTTCTGACATTCCCCTGTCCTTTTTTTTTTGTCAATGTTGGGTTCTCTGATTTGGACTGGAGCAGGAAAAAACTTTGGTAATTAAATTTCCTGAATTAGAAGGGCTATTTGACTTTTATGCCTTAAGATGTAAATTTAGGTTGTTCTTCATACGGTCCTTGTAGTCTTTTCTTTGTGTTTTGCTGTTACTTTGGTTGGACACTCTGGGGGGTTATATGGTGGCGGATAAGACATAAATGTTGTTGAGTTTCGTTTTATTTATAGATTGAATTCTCAGTTTTGATTTGAATTTTGGTTTATATGTCCTCTACCCTAGAAGATACCTGTGATTCCCTGCTTTTTGTTTTAATGCAAATGCTTTGCTTGTTTTTGAAGTTTCGAACTAGAATGAGTTGAAAAATAATATTTTTGCAACTTGAGTTGAGGTTCTTTAACAATGCTAAGTCAATGTTAAAATTTTAGCAGCATGTTTTTTAATTTTTTTAATGTATTTTTTACATTAAGTTCTGTAAAGGGAAAAATATATGTAATTTTTTAAAAAAAAATTAAGTTCTGTTTTAGCTCCTTGAAAGTTTTTTTGAATTATTTTGGTTGTAATTTGAAAATACACCACTTAGTTCTCATAGTAGTTTAGATAGTGCTATTTAAAATATAAAAAAAATGGTTGTAAGGTGCAATTTAAACCACTGAGGACCACCACAAGTGTATTTTTAAATTAAAAGGATAATAAATAGAACAATTTTTAGAGACTAAAATTGAACATAAGAAATTTTAGAGTCTAATATTTTTATCAATTATTAGACAGTGATAAAGGTTCACAATTTTTTATTTTTTAATAGTTCAATACATAAAAGGGTCTACTTTGGCACCCCTTGAAACCGGCTGCATAATATAAAATTTTAATTTTATTGACATGCATTCCTGATTTTTAATCAGCAAAGTTGAAAATAAATATCTTTGCAAATTGAGTTGAGGAACTTGAACTACATTGCTTAGTCAATGTCAACACATGCCCCATGAAATTGGGCTCTTTTGAAATGGATCAATAGGTTTTTGAATTATTAGTTTTTTAAGATGACTAGTAGTTTTTAATTTGACATGATGTAAATTACCTAACATCGCTTCCTTATCGGATGTTTGAGATTCGAGGTTTTACATGTGAACCCAACAAAACTTGAAAGACTTTATAGATTTGAGAATTTAAGCTGATGTTGAAGGAAATATGCATCATAGTTATAATTAATACGAAAGTGTGCATTGTCAAACATTGATCGCACTCATAATAAGACCTATTGACAAAAAAATAACATTATCTTAACGAAGGCAGTTCTTTGACCGGCAAAGAAATGGCAGTTCAGAAGTGATAATTCATTTCATGTGTAATTTATATTTTTTTGTCTTTTAAATGAGATATATTTGTTTTGAACTTTAAATTTAAAATTAATCTTTTTAATATTGTAATTTTTTTAGTCTTTATGTTTAAATATTGTTAGTGAATTTGTTAAATATTATTACACCCAATATGGTTCTAGTATCATTATTTGTAAAAAAACATCATTAAATTTAGTTGATATTATATAATTATTTTAATCTGTTACTGTCAGATATTTTACTAGTAATTTGAAGACAAAAAAGATTTATTAAAATTTTTTAAATTAAAAAGATCAATTTTAAATTTAAGGACTTTAAAATAAATTTATCATAAATTTAAGAAATTAAAAATATAATTAAGTCCTAAATTTTATTTTAAAGTTGATTTTGATTTCTTTCTTTTAATTGATTCAATTTAGTTCTCTTTTTGGATCACAATAGTTTTATGTTACAATGATATTAAATAGGACTAATCATCGGTGAGTTTCGGTCGAATTTAGGTTCAAACTGATTTATGTAACCAAAATCGACTACTATCTTAATCCGTTTCCGATCATTGGTAACATTCGAGTCAGTGAGTTCTTCTAATCAATGAATGGTGGATGTCTTTCTTGTTTGTTTACGAAACCTTCTCTAACCCAAAACTTAGAAGAATAAATCATATAACAGTGAAAAAAAGTATTCAAATCTTGGAACAAGAGGCATGCAGGTAGGCATTATCATTGTTTGGAATCTGAAGCTAATTTAATAGTGCACCAAATAAATTGAATTTTATAAAATGTAAATTTTTCTTCAGATGAATACGTGTTCATGCGGATTTCATTTTCCTTCCTTGCACTTGATCGACATATTCATTTTTAACCCACAATTTACGTTATTTAATCCAAGATTCTTTAAGTGCCCTGACTAACTCTTTTGAAGTTCAGTTTCTTCGGAGCTTGGTCAGGTAGAATTTTTATTATTATTTTTTTATTTTTTTAATCACCCCTAGACAAATTGCCTTTGAATTTGACAAAAATCTTGATATTTTACTTGATGATTATTAAAATTGATAGAGATCGCATGTTAGAAAACTATCGATCGAATTAGGTCTTGATCACTTGAGATAAGAGAAAATGTAAGAAAATCTTCTCAATTATTATTTCATTCATCCATGACTTCTCAGAGTTTGGAAGAGGATGGATGGATAATAGCTCTCTTTCTGATTTAGTATGAGTATCTATTTAATAATTATTTATAATTTTTTTTATGTATATGTGAATATTTGAATAAATGTAAACTTTTAAATAAAAAAATAAGAAATAAAATAAAATTAAAATTTAATAATTTTATAGCATATATTATATTAAAAATAATTTTATAAATATATAATTACGACACATATATTTAGTATAAATAAATTAAATTAAACTACTTTATATATAATTGAAAATATTTTTAATATTTTTATAGTGCAACTACCTATGAATACATGTATCTTATTATCTATATCTGTGTCACATTCAAGTAAATATTTATTTAATTATTTATTTAAAATCTATATTATCCACAAATACATGGGTATTCGTGTTATTTTACCATCCTACTAAGAGTAAAGGGTATATTAATAACTTAATATGTCAAAAGTAATATTGATCATCCACCTGGCAACAACACAGATTTAGGGATTGTGAATTTTTGGTTCTGGTATCTTATTCTTAGGCATGTAAAGGCAACCTTTGAAGAAAATTAACCCATTTATGAATTAAAAACAATCATTCGTAAATTGGGGAACTGGAGAAGAAAATGAGAACAAGAGGACAGGCTCAAAGTATCAACTATTTAAAAAAAAAAAAAAAATTCAGAAAAAAGAGTGTCAAAATCGAAATTTATACTTTGTGGCAGCCAACTTATGTTGTTCCAATTCGTGGTTTGTTTGACTAATTTTTTTTAAGCTTAAATCAGGCATAAAATTAAAATAACATAACAAAGAAAACAAGACAACTCGCATAAGGTAAGGGTGCAACTGCAACAAGTTGTTTGGAAAGTAAAAAAGGACATTATTATTGAGCCCAAAAGGCATGCCAAGGAACTTATAGTGACCGAAAAGTTTGTTTTTGTGTCATCAATCTTTTAAGAAATGCTAGTTGAACCTAGTTCATCTAATAATCAATGGTGTTTTAACTATAATGATATTAAAACCGCAATAATTCACACAAAAAGTCACGTATCATTGTTTTTTTAACCAAGAAGATTAGAGATAATGATCCCTCGTGAAGCATGTCTTGAATAATAGTAGACATTGCATTCCTTTAAGAATGTGGGGTAGTGGTAGGGTTTCACATTCACATGACCAATATTGCGTTGGAAGGGAATGTGATGGTCGTGAGAATGAGAGATTAGGTGAACACAAATGGATAAGAAAACAAAAGTAGTTGGAGTTTAATTTGTGATTAGATGGAGTAACTGTGTTTAGCAACAGTTACCATCACTTTAAACATAAATTCACTGTTTTCAAAGCATTAAAATACAAAGCAAGTTTTTGTATATTTTTTTGTTGAATGCGAATTTACAAGTTTTTAACGACAAATTAAACACACTTATGTATTTGAGATGGTTGGACAATGTGAGCGGAAGATATTGGATAGCAGCTACAAGATCAAAATCTAAAAAAATACATATTATCTAAACTCTATCACTATGTTGATTCTAGTTCTTAAATATTATGCTTATGAAAGATTTTTTTTATTTTAATATTTGATTACAAGAAGCAAGGAGTTTGGTACTGGAAATTAAATACAAGCTTGAAGATATACTTAAAATAACTCAAGTTCTCATTTAGTTCATACTTATCATATGAGAGTTTGCTATAAATTTTACCATGAGATCAAATATAAAATCTCTTTCAAATAATAGCTTCTTAAAAGGAAAAGGATCAACAATGTAATTTTGAATTGAAGAGAGTCAGGTTAGAGGCACAAATACAGGATCCAATAAAATGAGGATCTTACAACATAGCTCACATGAAAATGTTTAGAGATTTGAAATCTAATAGTAAGTTATTTTTTTTTACCTTTAAATATATTTTTAATCTATATTACTTATTTGATTTTGGTCGTTATAAAATTAATTTTAGAATAATTCTTTTTTTTTTTTCATTTAGCCTATATAATTTATTATTTTGAATTAGTTGTTTATGAAAAAATATTAAGAGATTAAAAGAAAATTACTTACAAAGACAAAAATATGAATATACTAGGAGGACTAAAACAAAATAACAAGTATACAAATAAGAATATTACAAAGACTATTTTAAAACATTTTTACACGCACAAAAAAAATTACAAAATAGGCATATTTAAACCATTGAAAATTATTTAAACGTGATTTTTGTCTCAGAATAATGTACGCCATAATGGATAGTGTTTGATTTTCATGCATTTCAGCCCAAGCAGTGTATGATTACAATTTTGAGCATGTCCAAATATAACCGTCCATGGTTTTAGTTTTGACGAATAAATTTTTTTCATTTATTGTATTTTTATAGATTTAAGATTTAGGATTTATTATTATATTTACATTTCAAAGTTTGATTTTTATACTTTTATCTATAAAATTTCCTTATCAACTAATTAGAAACATACTAAAACATGATTTTTAAAATAAATATTATAAAATCAACTAAAATACTAAGTTAATCTAAAATTGAATGATAGTGGAAAAAATATATTTAATTGTACTATTTAATGTCTAAGTTTAATGCAGATTTTGTAACAAAAATTTTGGAATTGTACATTTTTCCAGTTAAATTTTAAACTTTGAAACTTTTTGCCACTTCATTAATTGATTGTTTGTCTCCATTAGTTAACCGTTGATTACAGACATGATATGTTGATCATTGATGTATCATGTTGATCACAAATATGACACATTATATCACATCATTATCTATATGTTACATTAACAATCAACAGTTTACACCGGTAATCAACATATTATATCAATGTTAATTAACAAAAACAAACAATCAATTAACATGGTGATAAAATGTACTAAAGTTAGAATAGATAAATGACAAAATGTGTAATTTCAAAAGCTGAAAAACAAAATTTACGAAATTGCAAGACTCTATTCGTAAAAATTATAAATAAGTCTAAAAAAATATTAACAGTAACAGTACATTTAATTTAAATTCTTATTTATTTATTTGCGGAGGCAAAGGCTGAAAACTATTGTTCCAATGTTTATATTTATGTAAAATGCCAGAATAGTTACTTGAAGACATCATTTCCCATGTTAAAAGGCACAAATAAACTTGGTAAATTAGGGGAGTGAAATTGATGCTCTATGCAATGCCTTTGTTCTTCACGAATGTTTGTCACTGGTCATTGTTAACAACTTTTTGTTCAGATGTTATGAGATGACAGTCATGGAGTGATCACAATACAGCACGTGTTGTATCAAAGCAAGTAAAAGAGAACTACTATTGTCATTGTAGAAATAGATGGGGGAAGGAATATAGTTTTACCATTAACAAGTACTAAGCACAAACATAGCATTCAAGTATATGTAAAGAATGGGATCATCTAGGCCAATTCTCAAACCACAGGACGGATTATGTAACACTGGTCCACTATTTAGTGAAATAACAGACCTTACATGCAAAGAGGGTAAGTGTAGACCAAGCAAAATGGATCTCAACACCATTTAGTTAGGAAGAGCAACAACCACCTTTTTGTCCAACAGGTTGTCCTCTGATCTGCACTGTTGGAGGCCTTGCATTGTTCAAAGAAGGTTGGCTTGCCATTCTGTATAGAGAAAAAAGTTACGATCACTTGTTTGAACAAGAAAATAAAATGTTCAATACTAGTTAACTAGTCAGTCACAATTTTTTTTTTTTTTTTTTACAGAGTAATTGTTCAATATCAAAGCCAACTTAAGGTACAATCAGTGTAAAGATATAACAAAAAATTAGAAGGATAAAATGTTTTCTTTCCTTTTAAACTTTTCCAAATTCGATTTGTCCCCTAAAAGCTTTTTTATTTTCTCTAATTTGAAAATGCACCACTCTTAGTACTCAAAGTAGTTTAGATAGCACTTTATAGTCATCTTTAAGCACTATCTAAACCACTTTAAGGATCAAAATTAGTGTATTTTTTAAATTAGAGGAACTAAAATAGTTTTAAAAAATTAAGGGACATAAATCGAATTTCAAAAATTTTAGAACTAAAAGCATTTTTCCCAAATTAAAATTTGAATGAAACTTTGGAAAGCCACAGGTTACACACTAATTATAATGAATTAGATATGTTTAGTCCATGAATTTTTGTCAATTTTTACTTTTAGTTCTAGAAAAAAAAATTATTTGATTTTACTCTCTAAAATTTTTCTTCATTAATAAAATATCTTGACATTAGGGACAAAAAAATATTAACCGGAGAAAGTTAAGAAACTAAAAGTGAAAATTGCAAAAGTTCAAAAATAAAACTAGTAAAAGATTATTGTTCAATAACTAAAAGTGAAAATCGAAAATTTTTTAATGACTACTAGCATACTTCATCCAATTATAATTCATGCATATTTATCTGTGAATGTGAGTGTACCAACAACAGATTATTAAATTTCTGTGTGATTGAATTGTTTGACCTAGTAATGCTATCATAGGAATTAAAAAGATGCTATGTGGAAGTTCTATGAAAAGCTTAAAAGATTTTTATTTTACCTTTCTTATCCAATTTCACATATCAACAGTGAACAAAAAAAGCACAACAAAAATAACAAAAAATAAATAAAAATAATATTTGACATGACACATGAGTACTACATTAGCAATTAACTTTTCCCTGCCAAGGAAACTGACATCAAATAGACTTGAAATAAAGAAAACTGACATGCCAAGTTTAATTATTCTTTTTGGAAGTTGGAAACTAAATTTTCCTAAACTTTACTTCCGAGCAAGAAAGCGTGGACACACATTTTATGGACACTTCAAATGCCCCTTAGCTACATTTTATTAACTTTTATACTTTGTTTTTAAACTTCAATACCAATATAGATGGGAATATCACAATAATTGTAGATAAAATACAGCCTTTTATCATGTCTAAAAGGACTTGTACTCATTTTAAAACATGATTGTCTCTTGATTTAAGATTTGTCTTTAATGTTAATTTTATATTGTTATTAACTTAATGCGTTCGTCTTGTGTTTTAATTTTTTTTATAAAAATGACGTGTCCCATATCCGTGCTTCATTAAAAACTCAAAAACCTAAAAATGTTTTAGTGCTTTTCTCAGTAGCAAAAAATACTAGTTTCACTATTTAAAAGATGAAACAAATGTAACCTAAACTTAAGTGACTTTTTTTTATTTTTTAATAATATCTGCCATTCAATAATAAAAAGGAATGGGTACCTATTCTTGATGGAAGCAGCCATGGCCATGAAGGCATCTTCGACATTAGTAGCATCTTTTGCACTTGTTTCCATGAAAGGTATGCCAATTTGATCCGCAAATTCCTGCAATGGGAGAAAAATAAAAGGTGGGTTTAGATGTGCTGGTTGGGAAATAAGGAACATAAACATTATCATTCTAACAACAGAGAGTGATATATGTCAAGACTATACTTTAGCTGTGTCATATGAGACAACTCTATTTGATGTCAGATCACTCTTGTTTCCAACCAAAAGTTTGTTAACATTATCACTGGCATAGCGGTCAATTTCACTGAGCCACTGCTTAACATTATTGAAGCTATCTTCATCTGTCACGTCATAAACAATCTGCCAAAGGAACCAGTCAGAGAAGAGCACCATGAAATCCCCACAAAGGCAAAGAACCTTATATGTTTAAAGTCTTGTGCTAAGAAAACCATCACCCACAATGATTCCATGTGCTCCGCGATAGTAGCTGCTAGTTATTGTTCTAAATCGTTCTTGCCCGGCAGTATCCCACTACAAAAACAGAATGTAAACCAAAGTAAGAAAAAACCTGTCAATAAAATCAAGAATATCATTAACGAGGAATGCTGACAACACATTCACTACCGCCCTCCTCTTAACACACTCCTTTTCATTGGTTAGACTTTATTGAAAATCACAATCAAGAGAGAGAATCATTAAATAAGACGTGAGACTTACAAACTTTTGTGTTTTACAATAAATTTCAACCATTCAAAAGAGTTTTAAAGAGTGTATTCCTAGCATTACTCACAAATCTCACATTGTCTAAGAACAAGATTGCTTCAAAAAAAAAAAATCTCAAAAATTAATTAATATAGAAATGAACAATAACAAACACTGCAATGGAAAAGAACATTGACCTAAAGAGATTCAAACATATATCTTAAGCTTACTGAGAGTATAAAATCAAGAAATAAAAAAGCAATATCAAGCCAATCAGATACATACGATCTGTAGTTTAATTGTCTTCCCATCCTGCTCAACAGTCCGAATTTTCTGCACAAAATAACATGAAATGATCAGTGGAGATACAATTTAAAATGAGTTCAAGTTAAAAATCTGCCACATTGTACTCACGAAATCAACTCCAATGGTGCTTATATAGCTCTCAATGTATGAATCATCCTGTAGCACAACAAAAAAAAAATCATCATAAAGATAAAATAATAAATAACAGTATTGAGCAGCAGGGGTACCATCTCCATGTTGAACCAATGGAGAAATATGACATTTATGCTAGAACCTCCCAGAATTATATAACCACACAAGATGATTTGGCAGAACATCACATTTTCACTCAGAAAAACTAACAAAGAAAGCAAGAAAAGGTAAACAATAGATAACTTACAGCAAATCTTAGAAGAAGGCACGATTTCCCAACTCCAGAGTCTCCGATTAAAAGGAGCTTGAACAGATAGTCACTGCAAAAATACCCGCATCACATGAAGTTTCTCACTCAAAATAGACCAGCAAAATGTTTTAGAAACTAAACTCAAAGGCCAATTACAACGATTTCACAGACACACAATTATTAAGACAATGATTTGTCACATGTTCCCTCCAATTAAAATAATATAAATACAAACACATTGATGAATTAACATTTCAAATCTAAGACACGTGAGGTTATGCCGTTGTGAACAAAATCCTAACATCCAATTGTGTTATTAGTAATAGTACCATCATGATCTCCATAATGAAATTGTAGTTCAAACTATTCAAACTACGAATCCATTTTATCGGTGTCCCCAATCATCAGAAAACACGATCACCTTATTTTTATTGGTTCCACAGGTATCTTTCTTCCCAGGCAATCTTCTATATCACACTATCATATATTAAATATTTTTTTATAACCTTGTTAAATCAAATACAAATATAAACATATCTATCAATAGGGATTCAACCTTAATTCGTTATATTATTGAAAAATAACCTCTTCTGCTGGGCCAACCCGTGTTACTAAATCACATGCATGAAATAATCTTAATTAAATACATAATATTTCATGAAAACTAGAACATTAAAATTAAAATTAAAATAAATAAATCAATGAACCGGGTCATTTCAAATCATACGATCCAATCAATCTAGGGTTAACAAACACGAAAAACAGAAACACTCAAAAACAAGACATCTAAAGGAATCGGTGACAGACAGAGACACCCTTTTGAAAAAGAAGAAGGATAATCAGAAAAAGGAAAGGAATTGGATCGAGGAAAAAGAACGCACTATTCAGGATTCATATTATCGGTGAAGTCGCCGGAAAAAGAAGGGTTATCGGCGGAGAGAAGAGAGGTGCACCACAAAAGGCACCAACTATGAGGAGAATGAAATGCAAAAGGGAATTTTTTTTTCTTTTTTGGTTTGTTTGGGGTGCTTTTCAATGGAAATCGTGTGGGTGAAGTGAAGGGGCTATACGGTGACGTATTGAATTGGCTTCGAGTTTTGTTATGTTGGTTGCGCTTCACCATTCACACATGGTAACCGTTGACGGTGACCAATTAAAATTCAACTCACGTGCCTTTCGCATGCATTCTTATTAATCTTCATTTTCTAATGTTTTTGTAAAATAATTTTAAGTAAAAAATCAAAAAAAATATATATATAGTGTACATTTAATAATAAGGAAAACTAATGAAGGTTACATTTTTTCTAATTAATAAGTAATTGAAGAATAGATAATATCGTGTACTTATAGTATATTAATGTTAAATAGTCTTTTCTTCCCTTTTTATAAGGGGATAATTTAAAAATAAATCATAGTTATTTTTATTAAATATTTTATAAATTTTATAAAATATTAATTTTATTTTCATCTTTTAATCTGGTTAAAAATTATAATTTTATGTGTTTTTATGTTATTAAATGCTAATGAAAAATAATTTTTTTTATCTTTCATCTCATAAACATTTTAATTATCATTTATCAATTTGATTAGCATTGATAGTATAAAATTTGATATAAAATAATATATTATTACAATTTAATAATGATATACTATTAGTCTATAAAGTTTTATACAGTTAAACAAAAAATCTTTATTATAGGTAGAGATGGGAATAATTTATATTTAGTTTTGAATAAATAGGTGAAGTTTATTCTATAATTTTTTTTATTTATAATTTAAGTCTCATATATTATTTATTATTTTTTTTTTATAAATCTAGCTTGACTATTAGTCTATTTAAAAATCTATTTTATATTAATAGCTTTAAATAAGTTAATAAATTTAAATTTAAATAAATCAATAAATATACTTTTAGTTATACATATGATTTTTTTTTAATTTTCTTGATGAAAAAATAGTTGACTCTATTATCATTAAAATTTAGTGTTTAAAATAAAAATAAAAAATTAACGTAAAAGGAGCAACTCATGCATATTTTTGTACACTAATGTATACTCATGCATATGTGTGATGAAAGAAAATGAAATATTGACAATTTGATTTTTTTATCTAAAAAGACTTTTTAAATATTTTTTTATATTTTATTTGAAATATTTTAAATAACCAACAATGAAGATGAAGGAAAAGAGCTGACAAAATATTGGTCACTAAATTTTCTATTTATTTTTTTAATTTCATATGAACAAGGAATGCAAAAAGTTCAAGTGTAGTGAAAATGTGAAAAATATTGATAATTTGATTATTTTTATTACAAATTTATTTATTTAATTATATTGTTGATAATATGCATATTTTTTTATTATATCATATAGATAAATAGACTGATTTATCGGACTTAACTAATTTTCTTATAAACATAAGTCAAATTTTTTTAAATAAATAGACTTTTTTTAAAAATTTAAACCTAACTATATTTATTAAATAGGTTGATTTTAAACAAATCTAATTATAAATTTTTATTTAAGACTTAATTTACTTTCATCCCTTCTAAAGAGTAATTTATCAAAATAAAGAATTGATTTATCACGTTTTTTAAATAAATAAGTTAGGTTTAATCAAACTTAATAATTTTATTTTTATAAACATAAGTCTAATCTTTTTAAATAAATAATAATTTTAAAAAATTTTAAATCTAACTTTTTTTTATTAAATAGGTGAATTTTAAATAAGTCTAACTATAAATCTTTTGTTTAAAACACCTATTTTCATCCATAATTATAAAGAATAATTTATCAAAAGAAAAGAATTAATACATTGTGATTCTTATTAGTGGAAGACTGATAATAAAATAAAAATAAAAAGAATAAATGATTCAATTTCATTTTTAATGTTATTAAATGATTTGTAAGTTGATTTGAGAATGACGATTCAACATAGAGAGAAAATAAATGAGGGAGATGACATGGGAACCGAGGAGGAGAATGTTAATGTCATTGGAATTATAAGTCTCACCATAATTATAATTTAAATATTAGAAAGGTTCAAAACACATTATTCATATTTTTTTTAGTGGGTAATTTTTTCTGAAAGTTTATTTTTTTAAGTTTTACATCTTATTCAATAATTTTATAATTTTAATAAATTTTAATTAAAAATATTATTTTAAGAATATCTTTTTATTTTTTTACAAATATGTTACTTGCACCCTCTTAAAGTATTTGTTAAATTTTTAGACACATTGTAGCACTATAATATATGAAAAAAAAATAAATAATGCAAGCTAGCAAACAAAGGAATAAATAAAGGGTTTGACTTTGTCTACTTCTCCACTCATAAAGAGATTAGGAATATCTATATGGGCTAGTTCGGCCCGTTTAAGGTTTAGTCTATAAAGCTTACATTTTTTATGGGTTAAATAAATTTGATCTGTAAAATAAATGATCTTTTTTTTTAAAGATTCGTATCCGTCTCGTAAAACTTGCGATTGAATGGATAAGTCCACAGGCTTAATAAAAAATTCGAAAAAAAAGAACTTCTTTCCCTTTTTTTATGTCAAGAATATATAGAGAAAAAATATATATAAAAAATTATATTAAAATATAAATATTAAATAATTTAAAATAAAAAAATTATAAAATTTTTAACATACAAAGATTTACACATTTAAACTAAAACATTAAAATATTGACATATGAAATTTGTACGTTTAATCTAAAACATATTAAGTTAGAAAAATGTAATATACTTTAAATATTAAATATATTAAATTTAATACTTATTACTTATACTTATTTATTAACAAAATATTAAAATCATTCATTATTTAAAATCTCCCATAAAGTTAAAAGAAAAAAAAAAATACTTTTCTTAAACGGGCTACCCTGCGGAATTCACGGATAAAACCTATGAAATTCGCGAGTTTTGCAGACCAAACTTAATTTCTTTTATAATTATGTAAATTTTTAAAAAATAGGTCCGTTAACTGTGCAGGTCACGATGCTTGAGCCCATGTACCCACCCCTAAAAGAGACCAATAAAACTATGAACATTTTTCATGTGTTTATGTTTCATGGTAAGCCATAATATGTTGCTGTTCCTCAGAAAATAAATGATATGAAAGCACGGTTGCAATTGTAGTAAGCACAACAGAAGGTGACTAGAAGTGTTGACACACAACATGGCCTGTTAACTCCACAAGAACAGAAGACAATCGCTGCAATTGTAAAATTGAGTGAGTATCCATTTTCAATAGTTCTAGTCAAGGTTAGAGATGGACAATGGGATATGATGAGAGAATTTGTTGATAACATTCTAGATCGAACAGTTGCCAATTTTCATTTTGTGAATTTCATCGAAATAATGCCAAGGAGTATAGATTCAAGCATAAAACAAAACAGATTTTGCTCTCCCAGTTATGGAGATTCCTTCTCAATACAAAGCGCGGTTCTTATCTTATGGCAACATTTGGCCAGCAACAACAGGGTCATCTTGCAAGAGCAACATACTCATATTTACTTCCTTGATAACCCCTTTATTGAAGTTGCACAAACTGGATCAAAATTATTCAGGGAGTATGTATTGACAACATTATCAGATAAAACTGTGATCCATGAAGTTGAATTTCTTCCTGTTGTTGATCTGATACTAATTCTTAAGAAAGACCACATTATATAGACAGGACAAAATAAAACAGAAATAAATACATTATAGCCCTTGATCAATATGTTACCAATGAAAAACATCATTGTTAGTTTATTTTCTTGTAGTTCTTTTAATGATAGATATCAAGAGTAACAATAGTACAACTAATTTTTTCCTATCATAGTGTTAGAATGGGTCTAGACAAAAAAAAAAGCTCTAAAATTAAAGTGGTTGAAAAATTATATTAAATGAAGTTAAATATTATTTTTATTATTTTTAAATAATATAATGTTAACCCATAGATAAATATTATCTATTAATTGACACTCATTAAAGTTATATATAAGTATATTCTTCTTTAGAGATTATTAATGAAAAATATGTATGTTATGTTCATCTTTTTTTATAATTTTCTTGTAATTATTTGAATTTGATAATAGATTCCAAGAATGGTGATATTATAACAATTGACGCCACAATGCCTTTGCAGCAAAACATGAATTGGACGAAACATGCATGTCAATCCTATCTTCATTTCATGTTTCATAGTTTAATTATTAAATATCTTTTATTTGTATGTTTAAGATTTTTTTTATTTATTAAAAAATATAACAAAATGAGTCTAATTTGAAGAGTTGATCTTTCATTATCAAATAATCATGTTATCTCTATATATATATATTTCTATCACATTTTTAATCTTTATTGAATATGATAATCATTGTTATGTTAATTAAGTGATAATTGATCCAAATTTTTTAGATAATGAATATAATACTCATACATAAATTTATTGTATTAAATATTTAACTTAATATTTTTTAAACATAAATATACATCACAATTGGATTTTTATTTACAAGTTTTAATATTTTGAAAATATTGAATATCTTTCATTTTTAACACCTTCAAAAAAATCTTTCTATATAAGTAACTAAATAATCTTTTAACAGTTCATCTTACACTTTTTAAACACACTCTTTTTAATTGGTTAAAATTTATTAAACATAAAAATTAGTGGGTCTCACACCTTATTTAATGACTTTCTCTCTCATCTCTCTTTTGATTTTATGATTTTTCGAAAGAGAATGTATTAAGAGGTGTGTTTCTAACACTCATCATATTATAGGTCAGATTGTTTAAACATTTTTTTATCTTATAAAATTTCATTTTTTAATAAATAAAATAAACACTTTTTTATTTATTTGTTTTTTTTATTTTATCAAATAAGTAGTTTTCAACTTTCTTAGAAGCAAGTCTTGTCTACTTCTTAAAAAATTATTTTTTAAAATACTTGTTTGAAAGCACTTCTTTTTAAGCTTAAACAAATGGACTCTATACATTTCTTTCAATTCATAATTTATTTTTGTTATATTTAGAAATATTTAATCGTAGTATGTTAAGTTTGAAATACTCTCATTTAATAT